AAATTGTGAAAAACACGCTGGTAGTTCCATCGTAATTAAGTGGACTCGGGTGCCTCAGAAGCCCATCGTTCTTCAGTGAGTACTGAAACGTCGTTGACTTGGCTTCCTGATGCAGCCACTACTAAATGGGATTGTGTAGATTGGTGACGCTATAACACGCGAAGCAGCGCGCAATAAGCCGAGAAAACTAGCAGATAGGGCTGAGTTACACATATGAACAAGAGACTGCAGATGGAATCGGATCGGTACCAAATAATGAAGACACGAAAACTAACATACCACTGCGCTTAGTACGGGCTGCACTACGCGGGCACGTTGGGCCCGTGGCCGCGCGCACTTCAAGGTTGTGCAGCGTTTGGCGTTCCCGGCGAGTATGTGCCGACATCCCCCACGTCCACCTGCTTGCTTGCTTTCGCTCTCAAGCTTACCATTTTAGAGGCGGATGCCATGACAAACCAACATGAAGGCGAGCGTGAATGCAGGGGCAGGGGATGCCTACTCGCTTGAACAGTCTAACACTTTACGAATAGCGAGAAAGGATATCACGACTAGCGCCACCGTACCACCCTGCAGAGCACTTGATCACGCGCTCGCATGGTGGGCGCACGCACCACACCGCTTCATAAACGATTCAAGAGAAAGGTGAAGATAGCGACATCATACAATTAAAAGGCCTCCAACCAGAAAATACGCACTCTCTATTCGCGAACAAATTATTATCCGTGCGTTTTTTTTTGAGGCGCTACAGTTATGAGTATTGGGAAGTGGCACTGGTCGCAGTCTAAGCGGCGAACAGCCATAAAGTGAGAGGTGGTTGAACTGCACTAAATTGAGACAGAAGAAAGTGTTTGATTTACTTACCCTGCAAGCTGGCTTGGCTAGCAGCGTTCGTTGGTAGCCTTCGTGCGGAGGGAGGTGCACTGGAAATCATTCCTCATAATAAATGACACGTCAACTGCTAATCAGTATCTCAAGCAGCACGTAACGCGCAGCATGAAAAACGAAGCTCACGAAACTGCTTGTCGAGCTGTCACGCCAGTAGTTCTTATCGAGAAAACCTCGAACCCAGGTCCCAGCGCTTCGCCGTAAGCCATGCTCGAGCACTTATCACGCCGATCTCAAGAACCCTCCATTTTGCCTGGAAGCAAGGGGAGGGAGACTGTAAAAGCTGTACGATAGTGACGTGGTAACTGTTATCACACACATGCGGAACCAACATGAATCAATCTAATGGCACCCGGAAAAATGCTGCGTCATGGTCATACGTTCCAGCGCGCCGCGCTTGTGCGATGATTGTGATCCGTCATCGTTAACGTCGCAGGCCTCCGAAAAGTCAAAAAGCGCTTTCTTCAGTCTACTCAAGAAGCGTTGGTTATGCCAACGCTTCTTGGTACTAAGAATTTGCATTAAAACTCATCAACCCACTTGTGCACATTGTCTGATTTCGACAATTCTTGCAAGGGTTTAATACGCATGAGTGTGAAAGGAACTTTGAAACGTTGTACTCGATTTTATTTCAGGCTGCCAAAGGTTGAACAAAATTTGGGCTGCTTTTGTGCACTAACACACTTTCAACCGCAAAAAAAAATCTCGAGATTTTATTTCTTATTTGCACAGGCTTATTTAAACAGTGTCAAGTACTATACTTGACGCCACTAGGCAATGACCAGGCGACAACAAGAAGAAAAAAAAGGAAGGTGCTAAAATAACAAAATCACAGCATATCCACGAAGTGAATGATGATGTGTGCATGCGGCGAAGCTTCGAAGGATTTTGTCGGCAAACCGTGAATCATTCACTGGGTGCGTCAATCCGTTCATTTGTGCGTCCATCCATCCGTTCATGCATATGTATGTATGTATGTATGTATGTATGTATGTATGTATGTATGTATGTATGTATGTATGTATGTATGTATGTATGTATGTATGTATGTATGTATGTATGTATGTATGTATGTACGTACGTAAGTACGTACGTATGTATGTATGTATGTATGTAATGTATGTATGTATGTATGTATGTATGTCCGTCCATTTAGTGAACACTCCAAATACCGTCACCTGGCATCTTTTCATCATATATTCGTCATGTACAACTACCGCCATCCAGTGGAATTTTCAAGCACTAATACGTGTGGTGGCTACAACTTACAGTAGACGCACTACTCACGCCTTAAGAAGCTTAGCCCTAACACAAACATTTTAGCATCTGGCCTGGACCCCATCTCTCTATAATATAGGTTAACCTCTAAAAACTTCACCGAATGTCAGGTTATTTTTTCTTCTTCTATGTATCAGTAGATGCTAAATGTGCAACGCGAGGATAATGCGTACCATTCGAAACATAAAAGGAGAAGAATCAATAATAATGGACAGCTTCGTATATTACGTATTATTATTAATATACGTAATACGTATATTACGTATTATGTTGTACACCAAAGAATCAATGAAAGGATCAGAGGACCTGCCTTTATTGTGCTACTTCTTTTTTCTGACGTAATTTATATCGTAAGTGTCTTGAAAACCATTGCAGGTGAGAACCCAGTACAACTGAACTATCTATAGCGACCTAGAAAAATATAGTATCACTTTCATCATCGTGACATAATCGTATCAATAAATAATAGTCTCATACAGAGAGCGCCTTTCCAGGATCTCCTACCAAGCGATTGATTGATTGATATGCGGGGTTTAACGTCCCAAAACTACCATATGATTATGAGAGACGCCGTAGTGGAGGGCTCCGGAAATTTAGACCACCTGGGGTTCTTTAACGTGCACCCACTCCTACCAAGCGTCCGCGCCTTTCGCTTCCATTTGTTCTGCAGAAATAGCATTCATCACAATATCCATGTGAAAGTTGAGACAAACTGTACGCATGGCATCTGTAACAGAAGTCTTGTATCGATGGGAATTCCCTTGCAATTCTCTAAATTACTACTAGAACAGTAGAATCAGTACCCCTCGCCCTCCCCTCCCCCAAAAAAAAGCAATGCACGGACGCGGCACGTTTCTCGGAGGAGACGTACTCGTGCAAACAGTCGAGTAGCGACTTCATCTCCTATCTTCATTACAAAAGTGCCCTTGGGACTCTTTGTCCATCCAAAGAGTTATTCGGGCGAGCCTAAACCAAAGATTCCCTTCTCACTGACGAACGAAGCGGGTTATTGTTTCGCGTTCACGCTTCGATGACTCTCCGGCAACTTCCAGGCCATCCAAAAAGGCCGCGCGTAGCGTTTCTTCGTTTATCTTCGCGAGGAGAATCGATACGAGTGTCATATTTTTCTCCCCATAGTCCTGTCTATTCCCTACAGACGCATAAGATTGGCGTGCGGCTGCCATAGCGTGTATATATCTCCGGCTGCATCAGCGACATGGTTGAAGGCGAAGTACGCGGTGGCACGACGCCGAGTCGGGTGCATTAAGGCATCGGTCTCTCGAGGACCACTCTTACATAACCGGCACTTCTGGCGAGGCCCATATACAGCGGGTGAACGTCGTTATTCTGTATCGTGCTGTGCCCGCCATTCCCGTGAGATGGTCTGTTTTTACAGACGTCTTCGAGGCGTCTGGCGTGCCGCGTCACTGGTGCAACCCAGCGATGCATCTTTCTTAGCGATAGTCGTGCATACATGCCCAGCCGAAAGATGCTTAGCACTGAGTGATATAAGGGTATTCATAGGTACCTTCAGCGTTGCGAGAGTTTACGCTTGGTGTCTATTCCCTTGTGTGGTTGGTCTTGTAATCTCAGCTTTTCGAGCTGAGATTACAAGACCACCACACAAGGGCTTTTCGAGCTGAGTGGCTGTGGTCTCTTGGTAGCGAGTCAGGGAGCTTGTTCGAGCCAGTTCGCTTTCAGGCACCACAGTTCTGTGTATATGAGCTATCCGGTTCTTTGAAAGGAGACGATTGCGTGTACTCGTACTTCAGAAGTTTTGATGAACTTGTAAGCTGGGGACGTTTGTCAGTTGATGCGTTTGCCTAACGAAAAAAAAAAGACCTATCTCCCGAGACTTCATTCGAGGCTCATTTTTTCCAGATTCGACGGCAGCTTCCCTTTAGTGTCTCTCCGATGACAGGCTATATATATTGCACAAATCCCGCAATTCTCAGTAAAGGGCCTTTGTTTCTGTGGAGCGACGAATGCGAAACGGACAGTGGTGACGCGACAGTGGTATACACTTGAATGACGTATCAATTCTAACCATGACAACAACGTGACTATTGTAGCTGCGCGACAACGCTGTTTTGCTGACTGACCCAAAAGAAATCAAAATGTCGGCCATGTTGGGTGCAAAACGTCGTTGAAAGTACTTCTGCGTAAAAATTAAAGCTGGTAGGAACTATGAAAGAGCGCGCCGTCTAATTCACGTCAGCATAGATTATAGCGTATTTTGTTGTAGCCTTTAAAATTACCCAAAAACACTGCTCTAGAGGTCTACGTAGCGTGTAGTATAACACGTGAATTAACTGCCTAGCGTTGATGAAAAATATTGCGAGATATGACCGTAGAATAAAATAAGATTCGAGTAAAGAAAAAGTTACTTAAGAAAGTGCTGTGATAATGACATGACGATGAGCACGTAGCAAAACAGATGGTAAGAGATAGTAAACGCAGGGCAGAGATAGTTGTTGTTACTGCAGTGAAGTTTTAGATTTCAGGACACTAATTGGTGCTGCATTAACGTATCGTAACTGTTAGGATCTTACAATATCACACCATTGCTTCATTCATGTTTAGGCGATCATATTTCAAAATTCAGTGTGATCCTTTTTCTTAAGTTCGTTTCTAAAACTTACTTCCATCTTTGAAAAAGCGTCATTTTTTCACCGCATCATGACCTCTCACGCTGGCGCAACAAGAACGCGAGCGTGCGAACAAAGACAAGCCATTTTTTCAGACTTTACAGGGCCGGGCTCTTGTCTCAGAAAATACTCATCTCTGTATGTCACCTCTTCCATTTCCAGATGCTTCCAGTTATAGCGCTTTTTGAATGGCTAATGTTGCTGACGTTAGAAGCAAGGGCTGTTCTGGGCATCTGCCACATGGAGTTCGACAGCCTGGCGAGCAAGTCGGGCAACTTCTCGTCGCCTCAGTACCCGGAGCCGTACCCGGCCAGCATTCACTGTTACTACCTCTTCAAGGGACAGGAGTCCGAAACGCTCAAGATCACATTTCTACACTTCGACCTCGAACCGCCGTTTTCCAAGGGGCAAGTATGAATCCATTAAAAAAAAAATATTTCGGAGAAAGCTCATTCGTTTGAGTGGAATAAGTTGTTTGCAATTTCTTGATATTGCGTGGAGCGTGATGTCCAATGCACGAGACTAATTAGAGTAGAAAAGGTTGATGAGGCTATCAACTGAGCTCTTCAAACAGTAAAATGAAGAAACAGCTTGAGGTCAAAACAATTTTTAATTAGTAGAGCTTGTTATTTTCAAAAGTTGATTAGAGTTTAAAAAAATAGGAATAGTTAGATGCAAGGACTACAGTAGAGGGTCCCGATGTCAGAACATGGAATGGTCACAAAAATTATATATAAAAGTGGCTGTGAGGGTTTAATGTCTTGGAAGTAAGGCCGCCTGTTCCTTGTTATTTTGACCATCAAATATAAAAAGAAAACACTTTTTATTGTTATTATAATGCTATCGCTAAAATGAACGAAAACAAATTAATAATGTGTTCTTGATTGCAACAAAGATGCATAGCTGATCACAACGTAATTGAGAATGAGAGATTTGAAGGTATTTACAAACTGTAAGAAAGAGCATTCACCCAAGTGTTCATTGGTCGATAGTGAGATTTACGCTGACTGTTCTCCACATTGGTTGAAGTACGAGAGATATATCTTGCGCAGTAATTCAGCACTAGCCCCTAATTAGGAATGTTTCCCGGTGCTTTATCTGTACAACTTACATCTTTAACAACAACAAAAAGAAAAACGCCAGGCCTGCGCGCAAGGCACCGCACAGTCGCAGCGAAAGGTAGAAGAGCGGCCTTTCAGAGCCTTTTCTAAACACTCATTGGATAAGTGCTGCAAGCAGACTACCCACTGCGGTGTTAATAGTGTAGAGAGGTTAATAGTGTAATTAGGTCCCCCTTAACTCGGTACTCTATCGATGTAGTTTAAAAAACAGTATACAGCTAGGCTGCCACAGCCAGGTCACAGCCCGCTGCGTTTTTTATCCAAAATTTTACAGATTTTTGTTTTTTATGCTGCAATGACAGATTTGACAAAAAAAAGGCGCCATAATTACAGATGCCTTAGCAAAAACGTGAATTCGATTTATAAACATGCAAACAGCCTGCCGTAAACACTGGTGTTTCTCTGCAAATGTCTTCGCAATGAATACAAGTGATATTGTATTGTCCCCACCTTGCAAACAAAGTATATTATCATAAATGTCATTGCAGCACATTCCCGTACCTCAGGTTACATTATTCGTGAAACATGATTGCAGCACTAGTCCAAGTTAGAAAAGCGTGACACAGTAGCACAGAAAAACAAACAATAACTAACAATAGCACACATGGGCGATCGCTGTAGCCCTTGTCACGCTCTTCGTATGAGCGTGATCGCCCTTGAAATGCTCTTGTCAAAAGCGCATTTCCGTGACGTATCAGCTATCTCAAAACACCAGTTTTTTAAGTTTTCTGACAAAACCTAGCTGTTTGGTTTATAGTGTAATGTATCACAAACTGGGCGACTCTGAGGTACTTTAGAACTGTCTACACTATATTAACATGGTGTGCTTTGCCGTTGTGGCTGTCGGATATAATTGGTTCTGAGGCGGCGTAAGAATGACGTCCACACACAATCGTAAACAGAAAGGGACTTCTATACCCTTTTTTGTATTCTTCGAGGCTCCTCGAGCCCACGCGAGTGCGCCACCGACCTTGTTTTTCTTCTTTGTGCGAACGCACAAAACACACAAAGAGCGTCATTTACTATCACTCGTGACACATAGAATAGAAATGACACCGCATGAGTTGGCTCGAATGAGTGAAGACTGAACGCGTCGTGGTGCAGGTGCCTCAACGACTTCGTGGACATCAGCACCATAAGTGTAACCAACGTGCGGCAGCTGGTCGGGCGGTACTGCGGTGTCGAGGTTCCCGTGCCGCTTCTCACCATGAAGCCGCGAATGGAGATCATCTTCAAGACAAACCACGCCCACGAGCGCACTGGTTTCTTCGGCATGTACCAGTTCACGGACGAGAGTAAGTGCCGTTCACTGGAAAAAGTGTTGTTCTTTGCTGTGCATCTGCGATATTAGCTGATTGTTGAGTCGTTGCGAGAGCCGCATTCAAAAATATCGGCTGCTCTTTCCGAACAGTGAGCTGAAATTTATTGCGGGGTTGCTCCCCGTTCTGCCTGATTGTAAGGTCTTAAGCTTGTGACAGCTCAAGCTTGTACAGCAGTCATAGAACACGAATATGTGGAAACATCCTACTGCTGATGACACTCAAGAAGCTTTAGACGACTACGAAAACACACAGACGCACACGTATACACACGCAAGCGCACACACACGAACACACACGCAGACAAACAGACAGACAGACAGACAGACAGACAGACAGACAGACAGACAGATAGATAGATAGATAGATAGAAAGATAGATAGATAGATAGATAGATAGATAGATAGATGGATAGATAGATAGATAGATAGATAGATAGATAGATAGATAGATAGATAGATAGATAGATAGATAGATAGATAGATAGATAGATAGATAGATAGATAGATAGATAGATAGAAGTCGATAGAGTACAAGTGAATAATAACGTTGTACAAGTACATCAAAGTGAGGGAAATTGATGAGAGAGGGCATGCTCGGAAACGACCTAAACTATCTTTTGAGGTGTTTTATAGAAGTTTGAAAAGTATGAAGGAGAGTATAAAGGTGGGCATTGTATAAAAGAGAAGGTCATGTATATTACCGCAATTATGGAGCAATGAGTTTAGTGCACGCACAAATGAGCGCTTTGTTTGCTCTTTTGATTTCTTGCTTTTTGTTATTCGTAAACACATTAAGTATAATGAACATTCTAACTATTTTTGGTTGTTAAACACACTTTTTGAAACTCGAAATATCTGACAGTTACTGTTGTAAAAAATATTGTTCCCCCCCTGTAAAAGGCAGGTGGCTGAAAGTGGCTTGCGCATAGAATGCGTATATATATATATATATATATATATATATATATATATATATATATATATATATATATATATATATATATATATATATATATATATATATATATATATATATATATAATGAAATGATTACAACGAAAGAGTCTGTACAAAACGCACGCCTGGCTGAACAAAGGCAGCCGTTCAGACCTGTTTTCTTCTGTAAGGCAACCTTAGCCATCTGGAGGTTGCGTGGCCGAGTGGTCTCAGGCGCTAGTTTTATGCAGCAGTCCAGAAGGGCGTGAGTTCGAATCCCACCACGGTCACAACTTTTTTACAATTTCCATAGGGTTTTGAGGTCAATGTCTCTCTCCTGTCATTTGTTCGAATGTTTGAGCACTGCGAAATTCTTAAGTTATCTTAACGGAAGGTTTTGGGCTCCAAATAATATGGTATTTTTTTTGCCTTAGCTTGGCGGGAAACAAGCCAGTGTTTTTTCCCAGCTTCCAATGAATATTGTGTAGCGCAGATATTGTTATTACTTCATTTTTTGTCGTATATTCGATCAGCACATCAATGAGATAAAAATAGCTTCACTAATTAGAAAAGAAAGGTTTATGATGGAGTGTAATCGGATTGAGTGATCTCAAGATTACCACATAAATCGGGCTAATGTTGATACGTGTATTAAATGTAGAGGTGCGAATATCTGCACAGCTGCGGAAATTGGCGCTCTTTCGTATAAATCCCGGCTCTTTACCACGTCGTGATCAAAATGCATGAAAAATATCTTGAAGCACAACAAACAAAAGCCGCTATCTGCCATTACCCATAATTATTATATGGCAGCAGATAATTACCTTATGTGATGTGCTTCTGTGTTATTTGTAACTTTACTTGCAGTACACGGTGATTGTGAGCTTTGGCCGGGAGAACAACTCCATGTCTTGAAACATAAAAGGAACGCTATCTTCAAACCCCTCGTATACAGATCGGGATTCGGATAATGAACATAAAACGCACGAATAGGTTTTTGTAGATTTTTTACCACAACTAATTATGTCCGTTATCTAGAAAAGAAATTACATCTTGAGTAACAATTATTCCCCTTAACCGCATCTACGATAACGATGAGGAGGGATATTAGTTTGAAAGTGTGGTTGTGGAGATGTCGCGCACTTTTTCGCTTCGGAGGAGAACAGCGCAATAAACGGGACGGAAAAAGAATAAACTCACGACACGTCCCGTTTTTCGCGCTGTTACCCTCAGTATCATGTACGAATGGCCCTTCAATAAACCCTTCTTCACTTTGTTTACGCAGCCATATTGTTCACATTTCGAGAAGCGTCTTTTCTGGCTAGTCTCACTGAAAACGCAACAAAGAAACTCTTGGTACATGAATATACCCTGTGAAGGCTTGCGATGGCTATGCATTGAACGTACATCTAATATTAATTGGTAAAGGTTAACATCACAAAACTACGGTACGATTATGAGGGACGCCGCAGTGGAGGGCTACAGAAATTTTGACTTCCTGAGATAACAGCTAGACTAACGTGATGGGCTGGATGTGCATCTACTAGAATGTAAGATAATAACTCCTAAATATAAGACATATTGTAGATTTCAAAATATGTATTTCAACTGTAGCCCTTGTCACAATATACACGGAAAAACAGTTGGAAGAGCCATTGTGTTTCAAGCAGCAGCCAGAAGATACAACGAAATCTGTTGTACCCCAAATACACCAATAATGATTGTGTCTTTAGTATTTCGATATCCTTCTAAAGTACCCCTTCTCGTTGTAATGTTTTGTTGTAGTTCGACATGGTCATTGGAGGACATTGGTTGTAGTTCGTCATTCAAACTGTGAAAGAGGCACACAAAAACAATCCCTATATTTAAACTCCTGAATGCTCCGAAAAATCGGTGGAACGATATGGACGAACTGATAGCGAAGTTCGATGTAAGCGTTGACAGTGTTTTCATGCTAAATAAAGTTACCCTAATACCGACCTACATGAACCTATTTTTATGAGTTCATGAATTTTGGTTGATGATGATGGGGTTACTGTGCCTAGTGCATTACTGGCAACTCCGAACAGTCTACTGAAAAAGTTAAAACCTATGAAAAGAATCATGTTTCATAGAGTGGATCAGGAATTTTCGTACAAGTAAATTGCGACCTGGGTGAGGTCTAAGATATTCAATACGCTTTTGTTTTTTTAGAGTGTTTGTGGTAAAAACAACACAAAATTATAGCGAGAACAAAAGGTGATAGAAAAAATTGCGAAGTCCAAACATATGCGAGTGTACAATAATTGTTTCAAAAAAATATGCAAAACAGTCGCGCGTATTTAGCCATAACTTAGCCTATAACCTTTCTCCGTCTGCGTGCATCGAATATCATTTTTTCTCTCTACTCTCTTGGAAAAGTGAGTCATGTGACGCTGTCCACCATTTCCACAATTAAAAACAACAACAAAAATACAATATTAAACATGATGTTGCCTGTCGGGCCTACCTCACTAGTTGTTTTATTCATCACCTGCAGCAAAAGACTGCTGTTTGTGTTTTCACAGTTGTTTATTTCATATCTTCCATACAAAATCTTTTTTAGCAGGCTACGTAAATTCCTGCAGAGTGTCTTCGTCAACCTAACTGAAAAAAGTAGGGACAGTATTTAGGATGCATGACCTATGATTCATGAATACGAAATATAAATGCAAAGCAGCTAGCCCAGTAGCACGCCTTGTATAAAATAGAGATGGCACAGCACAGCACACTACAGCACAGCGCGCGCGCACACACACACACACACACACACACACACACACACACACACACACACACACACACACACACACACACACACACACACACACACACACATGCACACACCACACAAAAGAAACATGCGAAAGCACACACGTTTTTTTTTAACGCGACAGCGTTATAGAGTTCGTTTCGCAGAAATTTTGGCATGCGGTCCGTGTTGGCGTTAGCGTCGTCTGTTGTAGGTGAAAAATCATCATCTTATGCGTGACCGAAAAATCGAGAACGATGCAAATAAATTCAATGAATAAAAATCCTTGAGCACAGTTGGGACCAAATAAGGGTTGTTATGGTCCGAGTGTGGATTGAATTCGGGTCGTTTGTGTGACAAGTGGATGTTCTCCCACTCGGCCACAAGTCTGCTTGCGAAAACAGTGAAAGAAACTTCCTCTGCTTGGAAATGCAGTGGAAGTGGCTTTCATGCTTCACAAACACACGCGTCCTCTATGCATGTTTCGCAATGCATTATGAAGTATTGCAGTAATGATGCATCGTACAAGCGTCCATTGCCAACGGGCATCAGAATATGTGATTAGCGTAATGGGTTCGTGGTTGAAAGCAGGTACCCCACTACAAAAGGCGCACACGATACTGCGCCTATTCTCTTAACGCCACCTATATTGGGTCCATAGCAAATACGAAAAGGTTTCATGCACTAAGTGTTTCAAATACGGGCCAGAAACAGGATGTCGCTATGGCGTTCAACTCCAACGGGCGAAGGTATCGGGTTCCCTAATTTGTTTGTTTATTTGTGTCTTTGCGCTGCGGCATATATTTCCACAGTTATACACATCAAACTAGCCTTATGTAATATCTTAAGAAAAGAGAGTATTTCCCAGTTTGTGCTTCGGGAACAAATGTTAGTTGACGGGGGGTAGTTAGGACGCGGGAAAATAGTAAGACAGCAGGAAAATAGTTTACCAACGTTGCGCTTCTCTACTAACAGCACTTATTCGAACATCAGGCCGTACTTGATCTTTACACAGGTTGTTTAAATAAACTTGATACGCTTATTTATGGCCCCAATATGAGATCATGTGTGCATGCAACATTCATATAGTTCATCTTCACCTTCCACCTCACTTATAACCCTACATGAATAGACTCAGCAGTAACCTGGCCGGCGCTGTAACAAGATATTTAATTCGGTATCATTTTTATACTATAGCTCTTCCCATAACTTACCTTAGCACATACTAAGAACTTCGTCTTCACAGGTAGAGAAAATAATGTTCTGCCTGAACCGTGCAGTGGTTCTGGCCGAACATGTGATGTGTACAGAAGATGACAACAGGAACACCATCGTTTATGCACAGTGTTATAGTAACAGACGAAGAACATAATATTTGTATTAAACAGTATTCAAAACAATTGACATGAAACAATTTACAAGATATAAGATATAAGTGCTACAGAAACGAGGAAACACACTAGTGGTTCACTGAAATGTAATCGAACAAGTGGAATGTCATATAGAAAAACACTATGAATACAAACAAAATATTTTGATAACATTATAACACCTTAAATGCTAATTATAACATTACTTATGTACAGAAACTAGCACTTGACAATACATTTGGACAGAAATAATAACAAAAACAAAATATGTAAACTTAGAAAAGAGCATGTCAGATATCGTGGGAATAAAAGTAGATAATAATTATTAACTAAGGATATACTTTTCTTAATTACAATTCTGGCATAATAGGTATTTCAGAAGCATAAGAGTAACAACTAATAACAAAAAGAAAATGAAAAACTTGTATATTGGAAAGCGCATACACAATTGTATTGACGATACACAATAATATACATAGCAGTTGACTCTGTATTGGTGTTTCTACAGCATTAAATATTTTAGGTTACCTTATGCGATTTACAAGTGCGTATTCATTCTTAAAACACAGCTGCGTTTTAGGACAAAACTTAAAAAACCTCGTGCGCAGCTTCAGCTACAGAAAGCAGAATACAATTTAGAAAATGTGGAAGTGACTATAAGATGACCTACGTTACTGCGAGAAGATATCTCTATTCGGATTTTTTTTAGAAGGCAGTCACACCACAAATCCACTTTACAGCTTCATGTCTGTGAGGTTGTTTTTTTATGTCAGCGTTATAATTTATATACGTGTGGTTACGTACAACTAAGACAGTGATGCAAACGTTTATTAATGGGAACTACAAAACGACAAAGTTAGTGCCAGTGGCCAAACGATCTCTCATTCTTTATGTAACGAATGGATTGCGACAGTGTGCTATATCGCGCTTACCGTGCTTAAAAAAACTAAACGCAACGCTTGAAACAGCGACGAGAAGCCAGACACCCTATGCGGTATTTTTCATCTTACGCCATATCATTTTCTCACCATTTCGTGGAGTCAGCACTCCGAATGTCGTCTGAACGAGTGGCTCCAATGCCGAAAGATGAGTAATTGAAGACGGAAGTTGTCTCCAAGGAGTATTGTCAATGCGGACCAGCTACGTAATCAGGTGAATCTAAGGTTTCGTGTGAAAGTGCTATAAAGAAGTGTACAAAACGTTCTACTCAAAACAGCAAAAAAAAAAGAGCCCCCACCCCTCACAAAAAAAAAAACAATACATAATTCACAGGCCCATTTTTTCGGGCTGCGGTCCTGAAATTTGCTCAAGCAGTGGAGTGAACGAGAAAAGACTGCAAGTTTTCGCATATAAGTCTTCGTTGTTGCGAAGGTCATTGAGAGGAGTAATGATTATGATGATGATGGTGACAAGTTAAAAGCTAGCATTACTCGCTGTACGCGTCCTTTCCCTAGTGACTTTTCTCAGGGTTTTCCAGTGAGAAAATGAGCCTTTTCTCGGGACGTAGCGCAAAAGAAATATCATACGCACTCGCCATCAATTCTGGAGGGTAATAACCCTTGTCGTTGCTTTAAAGTAACAGACGTCACCTATTTTGTGGCCGCATCGAAAATGAAAACTTCTCCCCCGACGCGACGGAGTTTCTTATTGCGTACAGTGCCCGCTGAACGTGACAGACTTTATGTCGATGCAAGGAAAAGAGGTTTGGAGGATGTGCTCCGCTGTTTCCCATATGCGCTGTCGCAATGTTCTGTGAAAAATTACCCAAGGATTAGAGACACCCCACGAATGCAGTGTGATTTGGGTAGCGTAAGAGAAAGAAATAAATTCATTGCGGGTGGATTATACGTTTTTCGAAGTAGACTGTACATTCTGTCGAACCAATGCGTGTTTCGCAACGTACGGGATGGGCGAGAAAGTACACCGAAAGTAATTCTGTGACTGCAAGACGAATAGAAAAGAAACTGGGTTCATTTTTTTCCCCGGAAGGCATTTATTGCTTGTATTAGGACGTGCTTGTGCACTAGTTCATTCATAGTTTGTGGGAGCTTTAAAGTGGGAGAATAAAAAGAAATTAGAGACAATCGATCTGTGGAAGGAACGATCGACACCATAAGTGCTTCTATGCAAGCGTTTAAATTCGTGTTCTCAAAAAAATTAAAATAAAGCAATCAAGTTGCTTCCGCTAAAAAAATGTGCGAACGAAATTTTGTAGGCGTGATTTTATTTACGAATGAGATGATGCCATAAGCGAATGTAATCTTATATAACCTATTTATTCAGCGTAGCAGTTAAAGTCGAACGGGTCTGGGCAAAGTGATATTCGCAGTTAGGTGCTACAGAAGTTAGGCAAGAACTGAAGAAAGGCTAAGGACTCAACCCACGTAAACGAAAAAAATAAGGGGACTAGATAGAGCGTCACATGCAACTGAATTTATGTGAGAAAATTCTCCTTTCAATATACATGCATATATGTGCATAGTCACAGTTGCGCAGGACAATGGTGACCATTCCAACGCTTATGTCAAGCTTATAAAAAAATTGCGGCTCTGCTTTACGCAGGGCGACAGACATGCCACTAGTGGCCACGTCTCCTTTCACATTGATAGCACACGCCTCCAGAAAGGACGACTTCATGAAGGGCTGTAAATTAATAATAATACGTGGGGCTTAACGTCCTAAAGCCACCATGTGATTATGAGAGACGTCATAGTGAAGTGCTCCGGAAGTTTCAACCACTTGAAGTTTTTTTTTAATGAGCACCCTAATCTGAGCACACTGGCTTACAGCATTTTCACCTCCATCGAAAATGGAGCGGCCGCAGCCGGAATTCGATCCCGTGACCTTCGTGTTAACAGTCGTGCTCCTTATATCCTCTAGACCATCGCGGTGTAGCGGCTGCAAATTACGGTAGTGAGGAATAATATTCTATGATGTCTTTGTAGACTTCTCTCCTGTATTGACTTTTTTTTTTTGTACGCTGACGCATCTTGCGCCCTCCGGGCGTTCTTGGCTTCTTCGCAGGTTTCATCAATCCGCCTCAATCCACGCGAAACGTGACTGGTTGCGGCGGCACGCTGACTGGCGTGGGCGGTGACCTGGTGTCTCCGGGTTACCCGGAGACTTTCCCCAAGGACGTCGATTGCAACTGGCTCATACGTGTCGACTATGACAAGCACATTTATATCCGCGTCCTAGAGCTCCAGCTAAAGGGCAGCATTGGTGAGTCGGCCCAACACAAGCCCCACACAAATCATGATTACGTCATCATGCAGGTTTCGTGACAATTGATTACTTGAGTTCATTCTTCTTTGAATAAACAGGAATAGTTTAGTTGGCTTAGTCGAATAACGGGATTGAAATACGCATGCGCAATGCACCAACTGGTCCGCATATTTTACGGCGTGCAGTCTATTTTTAGTTTTAGTATTACCGTGTTTGTGTGATAACATGGCGTGTAAAGCACGGCGGCTGTTTAGGACACCCGCTACGAACTCAATTAAGCATCTTTGTGAACCAATCAAAATTTTATAGCAGACGGCTGTGTACAATGGAAGGGCTTGCCTTGAGGTGCCTTCTACGACCGAGTATTAGGATAACTTAACGTAGTTTTTGAGATGGCTTCCCATTCCTAACAATCTCAGGCCTAACTAAAAGATCGGCGTAAACAGAATTGCGTCGGAAAAACCTTCACTTTCGGTGCGCGGTTCATAACTATTTACTTTTATTGTTTTTTACAAAAGTTGTAATACTGCTACGTGCGGAGATGCACGCGAGCATTTTAAGCTCTTTTTTTTTCTTTTGACTTCTTAAAATGCACTCATTCTCTGCTAGGGAACGCCATTATTGGAGACTGAACTCGTCAATGCTAGCTAGGCCACTAAGCTGAAAAGCTCTATGCTTAACGAACATTTATGAGACTTTGACGCTATTCCCTTAACTATACCGCGAGATACCGCTAACGCTAAACTACAATTGTCTCGTGATATCAGATATCTTGCGCATGAATTCGACTGGGGGTCTTCTACCGGTCCTAGCGATGCTTCATAACAGCTTGAATAGCTCTTGTTTGTTTCATAGCTTTTTTTTCATTAGCTTTTGAGGGAAACAGAATTATAACCATGATTACATAGCCCCTTGCAAGTGGAACGAGTATGGAGCAGATTATACAACGCAGGCGCTGATGTGGTGTAAAATTTATTCTCGAAACGAACAGAGATATATACATGAGCCACGAAAAGAGCACGAATAAAAAACCTGTAAATGACATCGCCCATCACATCGCACAAAAGCTAGATTGATGACGGCAGTGGATGGCATACTGATGCAACGTCTGCCCATCTGCTGTATATCTTATATTCTTTATAATTTCACAGAGAAATCACTAACGATGTATGTAGACAACGGTGGAACTGCAATAATACGGAAAGACGGGCTAGTTGGTACTGCTGCATAATTGAAGTTTTTGCGCACACACACAAGGACACAGAAGAAGGGAACACAAGGACCAGCGCAGACTAACAACTGATTTTTATTCAGTAAGAAAACAGAATATATACGCTTACTTGCACCCCATGATCACCGCGCATGAGCAAAAACGGCATCGTACAATCTTAAAAACCAAATATCACATGTTGTTCAGCAATTCAATTTCTTTTTCACTAAGCGATATCGACGGATGGCTGACGCACATATCTTTAAGTCTAGAGATGTGCCACGCTTCTACTATTTCTCTTGTTGTCTGATTTGACAACAAGAGACAACAAGAGAAATAGTAATCAGACAACAAGAGAAATCAGACAACAAGAGAAATAGTAGAAGCGTGGCACATCTCTAGACTTAAAGATATGTGCGTCAGCCATCCGTCGATATCGCTTAGTGAAAAAGAAATTGAATTGCTGAACAACATGTGATATTTGGTTTTTAAGATTGTACGATGCCGTTTTTGCTCATGCGCGGTGATCATGGGGTGCAAGTAAGCGTATATATTCTGTTTTTCTTACTGAATAAAAATCAGTTGTTAGTCTGCGCTGGTCCTTGTGTTCCCTTCTTCTGTGTCCTTGTGTGTGTGCGCAAAAACTTCAATTAAACGGTGGAACGTTGAAGTCAGTGCATCTTCTGTGTCATCTGTTTTTTCTATCAGTTTGCACTGTGTAGTCATGTAGATTGAATAGCAAACTCGCCCAATCTACAACTTAGAAACAGCATCAAGACAGTGAGTTTATTGATGACACGGGGAAAAAAAAGATGCGCAGCTTGCGATGTACGTGGTGTAATTGTGTTCAAATATTTTGCTAGTAAACTGCTCCTCTATTTTTGGAGCCAAATGCTTGCGTTTGCATAGACAGATTTATTTTCCGAGAGTGGCATTTTGAAACCTTTGACGAAAAAATGTCCGGATTGATCACGACATCACGCTTTGCAGTAGGTTGAAGGGTATGTGGTGCAAAAAGTGGGATGAATTTTTTTTCATATGATAGGAGGAAATTACAAATATACACAGGGTGGGGAGGTTAACTTGAAATCTGTACGGTGGCTAGCTTACGATTGGAATGCTCCCACAACATACCAAAATGTTGCCCCAATCGGCCATTCAGAAGAACCTTAAAAGGAGAAAATGAAGGACTGTATACCTAAAGGGGCACTGGCACGAAAATTTGGGCCTCACGTTTTTTGCTGCAATGTGTTCCTGTGGTCTGTTAGTCACAACACGACACAGCGTTTACGGCCGCAAGCAACCAATACATAATTACAGGCTCGTCGTTATCGATAAGTGCCAGTTCCGCTTTAGAAAATTGACAAGTGTCCGAGCACAATTATCACCACCTGGCGGGTGCAATGCTCGACCACGTCAGCATACAGGACTGTGATGCACTTGCGCAAGGTCTGCGAGAAGTGTTTTCGAATAAGAAACGCGACAGCAACGTCACCAAACACAAAACTTCCGACGCGGACCCCGCGGCCACAGACTCGCGGGCAACTGCCCAGTAACAGTCTGCTTGCTCAAACGCCACACACAAAAAAAAGTGGCGGCTATTACGCCATCATAACGTATTCCAGCGCAGTCAAGTGAGCGAAGTAAGGGGTTAACCATTGGTCATCTTTGAGGGTGTGAATAGCGTGAGGGAAGGAGTTAATCACGGAAACTTCAAAAGTAATTTAAAATACCCTCCATGCTATTTGGCTCTTGATATTTTGCAAATGATGTACACATGTTTCCTTATTCAGAACAAACGTTCGACGATTTACACTGCGTTGCACCCTACTGTGTGAGAGCAATAAGCTGCCCGAGTATCAAAAAGCCAACGTCTATGTGTGTTTAGATGCTCAGTATGTGTTTGGAGTGTTCTTAACAGTTTAGAGAACTTGGAACTCTACTATCGGAGAGCTTAAAGCTATCCCGCGAGCCTCACAATGGACATGACGTGATGTCTAAGGGGCAGTCAAATATAAATAACGAATGTTATGTCTTTACCCTTTAAAAACATGGAACAAAGACTTTGAAGGAACAAGTACAAGCGCACATATATGCAATCTATGAGGCAGGACTGTACGACGGCATAATATTGCTTATTCTTATCTGCGCACATATTCACATCGGATGCCACACTTTATTTCTCCTTCACAGTGTGGCTGTTATTCTCTACGTTAAGCCATATGGCGACACCAGAAAACTGTCGTCATCGTGAAGCAGCATGCGCTCTCTTCGGCCTCCAATTTATCTCTTTCGTTGCCAGGACACGTGCGCCGGTTTGTGCTGGGCCTGATAATATAACGCTGATGGGTAAGAGAGCGTTTACAGCGAGATTGAGAGGAAAATAGAGAAAGAAACGGAAGAGCAAAATTGACATACAGAAGAAGAGATACAAAAATATAGACACAAGAAAGACGAAAAAAGAAAACAGAGCATGGAAGGCATGTGCAGTATAGAAAAGGAATGGGTGGTAAAAAAAAAGTCCCGGTGAAGAGGAGGGAAAGTATAGCATTGTCTGGCATAGTATAGCAATAAGTTGGACAGAGATGTCAGGCTAGGAGGAGAGCAACGTAACGAGCTCCCTGCTTGCCCAATCTTTTCACTACCACTGCTTAAGTAAAATTTTTTTCACGGCTTCTTATGTGACATAAAATTTTGGTAAAATTGAACGCTGCTTTAATAAAGGTTAAAAAAGCACCGGTAAAGCTATTTCTTCAATATTTGTATGATTTGACAAGCTCTCAACCATACTTGGTGATTCATGGTACATTTCAGAATCCGGAAACATCAGCTTGTTATGTTATCAAAACAACCATCATTGAGTAACAGCCTTCCAGCAAAACTTATCTTTCACATTTAAATCCGTATAAGTGGGTTTCTCGCAATATGAGGAGAAGGAGGAAGGGAAGACAAGGAGGTTAACCAGACGCACGTCCGCTTTGCTACCCTGCACTGGGGGAAGGGGTGAGGAGATTAAAGGAGAAGAGAGAGAGAAGTGAAGGGCAACGTGTGTGTAGATGGGACCTTGTCCATTGCACGCTTATAAGCAGTCACGTAGTCCAGTCGTCTTTAGAAAACTTAGCAATGCCCGCGTCGCTCGCAATAGGAATATGAGTGTCGCTCAGCTTGTGAGTTGTTCATTCAGAATTTTTTTTCTATTCCGCAGCGAACTGTGGCGAAGCGGAGCTTGCCATTTTCGACGGTTACTCGAACTTGAAGGTGAATCCTGTACAGCTCAAACGCTACTGCGGCGATCTCAAATACTACAAAAATACTGATGAGAAAACTGAGCTGTCCAAGAGGAATCGAATTCTTGTGAGGTGAGTGACATGTCTTGAACTAGATTTATATAGTTCGTCATAACGTGCACTGCAATTATTGGTGGACGTTCCCGGCTTTGTTTTTCGTAATTACATAACACGAAGGGCTGTTTTCTGGCTGTTTATATGCCGTCATCTCAGTATGCTTAGATTGCGATTTTCTGTGTGTAACAGCTGCATGAATCGAGCAACCGCAGGCAGATGTGCTTGGAAACATCTGTAGAAATTGTTTGGCACATCATGGCCCTGTAAAGTTTATGACATGGCCTATAGGATTGAAAAGTCACTGGTGCGAAGGCTTAAAATGATGGCTCTCTTATATTTAATATGAAATTATCACTGGTAGGAAATGGCATAAACAAAATGTGATAATGTAGAGCATCGCGACGCACTGAATGCATTCAGAGGGCACGAAAAACTTCACAAAATAGGCGGAAGAAATAGACGAATGTTGGAGAGGTTAGCCAGTTCTCAGACCAGCTGGCGATCTTGAGCTGGGGAGTGAGGTAAAAAGAATGACATATTATAAAAAAGATATTTAAAAAATGAAAAAAATAAATAGCATAAAAGAAAAGAAGACACGAAGAAGGAGTGAATAATATGCTTGTAGTCTGTGTCTAACACCAGTGGTGCAATTATATACAAATTCCAAATCCGGACGGAGGCGGTCTGTCGGTGACGTCAAAAAATGGGCGGTCCGCAGCGGTCGCGAGGACGAAGGGAAGTGAACAGCCAATGAGCGAAATGAAGCCTCGCGTCATCATTTTGACGTGGACTTGGGGACCGTATAGCGAAGTGAAAAGTGTTTGTAACGTGTTGAAAAATGTTTAACTACTATTGATCATTATCGAATTGTGTTGGCACAAGTTTTCAAACGTTTATTAAAGAGTACGTCACAATATAAACTTATTTTTCTCGTTATTGTTTTAAAATAAAGCTACATTTAGCGGGACGGTACGTGGTGGCGCTAAGTACAACCCCGTTTCAAGCAGTTACTGTTTTCATATCTCCCCCACTATACAAACCTAAACGGCGCAACTTTCGAAGTTGTTGGCTCAGTCGAGCGCAATCGTGGCGGAGGTCAACTGTACCAGTAGTCAACAGCAGCAGCGGCTCATCGGCGTTATCCGAGGCTCAGCGCGCGCTGGTGCTCGCCTTTATGGACGAACATTCCCAGCTTGTGGCGAATGCCATCGAGCTGCGGCACGGCGTCACCATCACCGACCGGTGGCGGCTGTGGCAAGCGCTCAGCGACGCGCTGAACCATGAAGTGCCTGCGCAGGAATGACAGGCTTGGTGGCGCAGACTGGTGCACGAGGCCCGCCGTGACACCGCCGCCATCAGAGACGCACAAACGTGAGTGACCGTCGAATGGCATGGACAATTTGTTCTGTGACATTAGTGTATATTTTCAGGGGCGCTGGAGGGGGTTGGCTGCCTGGCTTCCGCGGCCGGGTTCTACAGTTGACTGGGATGACACGTTTCAGTGGCGTTTTTGGTCTCACCTATCAACAGGTAAGCACTCTGCCGCCGCAGTATCACGGGTTCCTGAGCGGTACCATGACAGAGTTTGATATCTGAAGGGGTGCCTTTAGCGGAACCTTGTTAAACGGGAATAAAGCGCACGAGAAAGCAATCAAAAGTGGGTAGGTTTAACTAAAATCTCAGTTTGCAGCCCTTGCAGTACAAGGGGTATTAATTTATCATAAAACACGCAATGACTGCAGGCAAGTGCATGCACTAAAATAGTAATACATGACATCAATGACCACTGAATAGCTGCAGAACATTTCCGCAGATGTTTAGTACTTAAGGTTGCAAAATAGCCAGAGTAACGAATACCCACTTTCTGAAAGATCATGCTTACTACACTTTCCAGCAGGCGAATGTTCCCACTGCTGCAGTGGAAATGGATGTGGAGGCCACTGAAGCGGCTGTAGATGGCAGTGACACAGAAACACGCAAGCATCTGAGAACTTAGTGCTTTATTGAGTGCAGGACTGGAACCTTGAGCAGGGCGACAAGGTGCTCAAGGTGAGTAGACCCTTTGTTTACATTTACATAAGGGGCATAAGCATTCTCCATGTTCTATTATGATGACTGAAACCAACTTGGGCTGTAAACAAGAACCATGCATTGTATTGAGGGCATGGTATCGGGTATCTGCAATGATAAACTGCCGGGCAAAAGGTTGGTTAGCCCTGGGGCTCTTTCATGGTGAGAGATGCATTTGAGGACATTAATAAAGAGCAGTTTCAACAAATGTTTGTAGGTCCGCACGAGGAGGGCATAGCTTGTACACAAAGCTTCCCACTTTCAAAGGATGCCATCAGGCCAGTTGATCTTCAACTGAGGGGAAATTGTTGTGCCCGTTGCAATTCTTGGCAGCAGGAGCAGCTTCCAGCCACGAGATGGTTAAGGGTTTACCGGCAGCTCACTTAAACATTTACACCATGACGATTCATCGCAGGTGCTGTGGGAGATGAAAAATCAACCACCCGCATCGCTCCTGCAGCACGGCGTGTGGCAGCGGCACAGGAGAAGGCGGCAGCGGTGCAGGAGGGCACTGGCCATGGCTGAGGGCTTTCTGCGAGAAAGGGATACGTAGTTTAGTTTAATTTTTCGTCATGTGTTTAATGTTTTTTCTTGTCATCACTCATTAATGATTTGTCGGTTTCAATGTGTTTAGGTGCTGCTGTTCATGTTCAATTTTATACGCTTCGGGAGACATATACATAGTTTAGTTTGTTTTTCGCCATGTTTTCAACTTTTTATCATTCATAATTGGTTTAGTGTTTTTGATATGTTTACGTGTTGCTGTTCATGTTCTATTTTATTCGTTTTTTGTTTGCATTCAGTACATATTACTAGATTTAGGTTAGCATTTACTTTGTACAAGGAGTGCAGCATTTTTTATGTTCGATATATGCATTTCTCAATGTATGTTCGAGCTGTTCTAGTGGCAGTGTTTTTTACCCACATTTCAAAGGTGTCTAGTCATTCACACGGAGACCACGAGTATATAGTTGACATTTTCTGTTAATGTTTCTGTGATATTTGTATTGTCCCACTGTGTTTTCTAGCTCACTGTGATTTTTATTCAGCATTACCACATAGCGTAGTAATGTGATATCTTTTTGCATCACACTGTTTTGCAGTTTACTGTGATATTTTCATTTCAGCACAATGAGGCTAAGATGCAACAACTACATTCTGAATCTTGTTTGGGAGCACTAAGCTAGTAAGTGGTCATCTCGCACAGTTTCACAAAGGAAAATGGTCATCACAGCAACATGCCAGCGATTGATTTCATCTAGTTTTCATTGTAAACGACTCTTTGCGGGAATAAATTTCGAACCTGGTATGGTTTGGGAGCCGCGAGATGGCTGAGCGAATTATTCATGCTGTATGTTATCAAAACAACTCGTCTGTTGTTTGCCGTCTTGATTTGCGTATTTTTTAGCATTGCAGCATGACTGCAGTCGTGAATTCAAATTAAATGTTATTTTAACATTCACACAATGTTTAGGACAATGAGCAAAAAAACAGCACAACTTGACGAGCACAATTGCTCGTCAAGCCTGGCGTGCACAATTGAATGCTTGTAGTCAGTCACTATGAGAAGATATGGACTTATGTATCATGTGTTCATACAACATGTTACTAATGGAATCTCGATTTTTATGCGTTCTGGTGAAAAGAATTTTGAGACGTTGCTGCATTGTTCGCACAATTTTGTGATAGCAACATTCAGCACAGAGTGCCGCTCATATATGCTTGCTCCAATCTAGTCTGTTGTGACTGTGATCGCTAATATGAAAAAGGGTGTTTCTGTTGCATATTTCATGTGCCATTCAAAGAAAATGCAGCATTTTGACATTGCCACCTTGCTTCATATTGAAGCACAAGTAAGTACTTTGTGTATTCAAATGTGGCAAACACAGCCCTTTCATGTCTAGATGCACTAGAATCAGTGTAAATAAATTATGTGTGGGATATGAAAACATGAAAACTCACCGTTCCTGTGTACTTCAAAAAAGGTCCAAGACAGCGCTGCTGCCGTCTCTGAGCAGCACGTTGCGTGGTGTGAGCATATGGCTCCCCCTTGGCTCCCCATCGTCATCCTCAGCTGGTGGCATGTCCACGACATACTCGTCCAAGGTCCAGTCGCCTGCATGCAACGCAATGTTGTGGAGAGCAAAGCAAGCATAGATGATTTGCGCTGCCCGATCGGGGTTGTAGAGCATCGTTCGAAAGTGCTGCAAGCAGCGGAACTTGCTTTTCAACACGGCGATACACCTTTACACAACATTGTGCATGGATGCGTGCTCCTTGTTGTATCGGCCTTCGGAAGTGTTGCACGGTTGACTGCCAAGGACTGGAATTAGGAGCCATGGCTTGAGGGGATAGCCTGCGTCTCCTGCAATGTAAGCATAAAAGCTGAGTGCTCTGCCCAGATAGTACACATTAATACTTACTAAGCAGATATTCGCCAGGCTGCAGATGTGCAGCTAGGCGTGCACGCAGTGGGTTGGTTGTGTTCCCACACCCAAGAGTCGTGGCACGAATCTAGGAATCATGGGTCTATGACAATTATGCGCAGCCATGCTTTGCACATCTGCGATGAGGAGCGATATAAAATAGTACTGCATTTATACTCAGAATAAATCCCTTTTTTCTACGCATATGCAGGAAACAATGCGTACTAGTACAGTCATCGGTACAAGGAGCTTCACTTAGAAGGAAACACAGGGTGTAGCACACTGAGGAGGGGGAGGGTGGGGGCAACGACCCCACCTCTGCTGTACACATGGCTACGACTTCCACTGAATGATCGATAAGTGAAAAGCTACGCGTTGCTCTTGGGAAAGAACACTCGTAAATACCAAAGCCAGCTCGTGCAATTGTGATTGTAAGCACTTTCGTGTTGGAAATACTTCCCTGTCGTGTATATACTTCTGCTACGTCTGCTGCCCATATTACCGATTACCTCTAAAATG